TAATCCCAGCTACTCGGAAGGCTGAGGCATGAGAATCACTTGAACCTAGGAGGCAGAGACTGCAGTGAGCCAGTGAGCCAAGATTGCGCCACTGCACTGCAGCCTGGGCAACAAAGCAAAACTCTGTCTCCAAAAACACAAAACAAAACAAAACAAAACAAACAAATAAAATTAATGGGACTGCAAAATCAAGCGAATCAGAAGGTATGCTAACTGCCCACTTCAGATGAGCCTCTCAGGATTCACATTTATTCTTGCTTAGTAATTCTTCCTTAGAAAGGGAGTAAACTGGGAAGAGAGTGGTGGAGGATTACAAGGTTAATCACTTTCTACATTTCTATAGTTTGTTTCTTTTTACAAAAAAATAAGGCCTGGCCAGGTGTGGCCCATGCCTGTACTCCCAACACTTTGGGAGGACGAGGTGAAAGGACTGCCTACGGCCAGAAGCTTGAGACCAGCCTGTGCAACTTAGCAAGACCTTGCCTCCACAAGAAATTTTAAAAATTAGCTGGGCATGGTAGCGTGTACTTGTAGTCCTAGCTACTTGAAAAGCTGAGGTGGAAGGATCACTTGAGCCCAGGGCTTCAAGGCTGCAGTGAGCTATGATTGTACCACTGTGCTGCAACATGGGAGACAGAGTCTGTCTTTAAAAAAATAGTAATAGCCAGGCGCGGTGACTCACACCTGTAATCCCAGCACTTTGGGAGGCAGAGGCGGGTGGATCACCTGCGGTCAGGAGTTCAAGACCAGCCTGGCTAACATGGTGAAACCCCGTTTCTACTAAAAATATAAAAAATTAGCTGGGCATGGTGGCACGCACCTATAATCCCAGCTACTCAGGAGGCTGAGGTAGGAGAATTGCTTGAACCTGGGAGGCGGAGGTTGCAGTGACTGGAGATGGTGCCATTGCACTCCAGTTTGGGCAACAAGAGCAAAACTCCATCTCAAAAAAAAAAGTAATAATAATGATAACTCCCTATTGATTGCCCTTCCCCCCCAGCACCTGGTAACCTCTATTCCATTTTCTGTCTCTATGAATTTGCCTATTCTAGGTATTGTATATAAGTGGAACCATACAATATTTGTCGTTTTGTGTCTTATTTCACTTAGTATGTTTTCCAGGTGCATCCACATTGTAGCACGTGTGAGAATTTCATCGTTTTTTTGAGGCTGAATAATATTCCATTATACGGTTTTTTTTTTGTCCTTTTTTTTTTTTTTTTTTTTTTTGAGATGCAGTCTCACTGTTGTCCAGACTGGAGTGCAGTGGCACGATCTGGGCTCGCTACAAGCTCCACCTCCTCCCAGGTTCATGACGTTCTCCTGCCCCAGCCTCCCGAGCAACTCAGACTACAGGCGCACGCCACCACACCTAATTAATTTTTGTATTTTTAGTAGAGACGGGGTTTCACCATGTTGGCCAGGACGGTCTCAATCTCTTGACCTTGTGATCCGCCCGCCTCAGCCTCCCAAAGTGCTGGGATTACAGGCGTGAGCCACCGCGCCTGTCCCCATTATACATTTATACCACATTTTGTTTATCTATTCATCTGTTGATGACTACTTGGGGTGTTTCCACCTTTTGGCTATTGTGAATGATTGCTATTGCTATAAACAATGATGTACAAGCATCTGCTTGAGTCCCTGCTTTCAATTTTTTGGAGTATATATTGAACGGTGGAATTGCTACATCATGTGGTAATTCACCATTAACTTTGAGGAACTGCCAAGGTATTTTCCACAGCAGTTATACCATTTTACATTCTGACCAGCAATCCACCAGGGTTCCAATGTTTCACAATCTAGTGGCATAAATATTTGCCCCTGTTTTATACTTATAGCTCTTAAGTTTAGGTCTTTAGTCCATTTCAAGTTAATTTTCTTCACATGGTATAAGGTAAAGGTCCAACCTCATTCTTTTGCATAGGCAGTACTGCCATAACTATTTGTTGAAAAAACTGTCTCTTCTCCCACTGATTGGTCCAGGCACCTCTGTCAAAAAATCAATTGACTGGCTGGGCCTGGTGGCTCATGCTTGTAATCCCAGTACTTTGTGGGGCCAAGAGAGGCAGATCACTTGAGATCAGGAGTTTGAGACCAGCCTGGCCAACATGGTGAAACCTCACCTCGACTAAAAATACAAAAATTAGCTGGGCATGGTGTTGCATGCCTGTCTTCCCAGCTATTCGGGAGGCTGAGGCAGGAGAACTGCTTGAACCTGGGAGGCGTAGGCTGCAGTGAGCCAAGATCGTGTCACTGCACTATAGCCTGTGAGACAAAGTAAGACTCCATCTCAAAAAAAAAAAAAAAAAAAAAAAAAAATCAATTGACTATATATGCTAGGCTTTATTCTGAGCTCTCAGTTCTATTTCTTTGCTCTATATGTCTATCCTCAAATACTTTTTGAATGAATAAATGGGAAGAAGGGGGAAAAAAGCCTAAATTTGATCTGAGTTCTAACATTAACTTGTTTTTGTTACCTTGTTCAGAATTCATGTTGTCTCCAAAACCCCCATTTCCTCTTCCATAAAATGAGAGATTGCACTGAAAGACTCTTACAACTCCAACAATCATGATTTTATACTCAAGATTTTCCTTGACATAGTACAAACAACACACATCCAATTTGTCAAGTAATAAAGAAATATTTCTAAAATTGAAAAATTATGAAAGTAGTTCAATAAATCTATACCTTCAATATCTGAAACTATTAGCATCTGAGGTTGAGAGAGACCTTCTTGAAGACTGTAGAAATGGATTGTACTGTCAAATGTTATGAAGCCAATTTTTGTTCTAGTGTTGCCAGGAAGCCTAAAGACAAATTCAGAAGACTATTTTATCAAGTTTTAACCATATACAAATATACACATAAAATATGTCCTAAGAGTTACATGAAAATATCTAATTCAATATTATAGAAATTGGCCCAACACAAACAAATGTTTAAACCACTCAATGTTTACCATGAAAATATATCTGACTCAAAGGGAAAACACTACACATAAGCCAAACAATAAACAAAAAACAGCCATAATACAACAATCCAAAACCAGGTATAGCTATGTAAACTTATATATAATCACTTAGGAAATAGTAGGTTAAAAATACTGAAAACTATTAATGAAATTTTGCAGATGATTTTAAGTTATAAAGCATGCTTCAAAATATTATGATACAGAAACTGTAATATTTAAGAACAAAGAAGAGCAAAAGCATCTATTTTAAAGAACTACAAATAGGTGGAACTACAATTATATAAGGGGAAGAGCAAACTGTTTTTCACTCTTGTTCATGCATGGGTGAGTCAGTGACAATCTCATCAATTCACAATCCCCATTCACAATCTATAACATTAAAAATATAAATACTGGCAGGAACAAGAATGAGCTTTTCACCAAAGTGAAGGAGTTACTCCACTTGTGATGAAATTTAGCCTTCTATATGCCTCCACACCACACACAAGCACTATACTTCATTACATAGAAAGGTCACATTAACTTTGATGGGTTACACTAGGTCTCTAAAAACCACTGGAAATAGTTATTTTAAGAGACTTAAGACACTTGATAACCAAATGCAATATGTGTATACTGTTTAAATTCTTACTCCAATAAACTGACAGTAAAAAGGCATTTTTTGGCCGGGCGCGGTGGCTCAAGCCTGTAATCCCAGCACTTTGGGAGGCCGAGACGGGTGGATCACTAGGTCAGGAGATCGAGACCATCCTGGCTAACACGGTGAAACCCCGTCTCTACTAAAAAATACAAAAAACTAGCCGGGCAAGGTGGCGGGCGCCTGTAGTCCCAGCTACTCGGGAGGCTGAGGCAGGAGAATGGCGTAAACCCAGGAGGCGGAGCTTGCAGTGAGCTAAGATCCGGCCACTGCGCCCCAGCCTGGGCGACAGAGCGAGACTCCGTCTCAAAAAAAAAAAAAAAAAGGCATTTTTGAGACAACCAGGAACAAAAAATAAACTGGGTATTAGATCATATGTGGAATTACTGCAAATTTTGCTTGATGCTTTAGTATTATAGTTAGGTATAAAAGTTAATCTTGAAGTATGTATAGGTTAAACAGTATGCTGGCTGAAATTTGCCTTAAAATACTCAAGGTGGGAAAAGGTATATGCATGAAAGGGGAAGGATGAGATGAAGCAAGAAGAGCAGAATGTTGAAGATGATGAATCTCGGTGACCGGTGCCTGGAAGTTCATTACATTATTCTTCCTACCAACTACAGGTTTAAAAATAATGTTTCTAAGAGAAAGTGAGGCCTAAATTAACAACTGATTTAGGTGGAGTTTTAGAACATAATTATACAACTTTTTTTTAAATTTCAAAAAAATTACTTATTCATTTAGAAAATACTATTAGTTTCATATTTAAGCTGAATTGAGAAACTTACAAATCCAGATTGTCTAACAAACTCTGGCAAACTGAATTCAAGTATCCAGTTTCGACTGCATTGTGAGACACATCAAATACAAAGAGATACACTGGAGGCTGAGGTGGTCGTAACTGAAGAAAAAAAGATCTTGTTAAGTACATTTAACAGGATTAAGTTTAAACTTATTTGCTGGGTACACATACAGCAAAACAATTTAAAAAGCATTTACAAATTGAGTAGAGATTCTAATAAACATGCAAAGCTATACTATATTGTTTATAGATGTATACTTAAAAATGACTCTGTGATTGCGATAATTCAGAAGAGTGTTTTCTCTAGGACAGGAAGGGGAAGAGACGTAATCAGAAGGGCTTGTGGCCAGGCGTGGTGGCTCACACCTATAATCCCAGCACTTTGGAAGGCCAAGGCAGACAGATCACCTGAGGTCAGGAGTTCGAGACCAGCCTGACCAACATGGCGAAACCCCCATCTCTACTAAAAATACAAAAATTAGCCGGATGTGGTGGCGGGCGCCTGTAGTCCCAGTTACTTGGGAGGCTGAGGCAGGAAGATCGCTTGAACCTGGGAGATGGAGGCTGCAGTGAGCCAAGATTATGCCACTGCACACTAGCCTGGGCGACAGAGACTCCATCTCAAAAAAAAAAAGAGAAGGGATTCTGGGAGTATTAGCAAGGTTCAATTTCTTGGCTTGGATTATACTAACAAAAGTGTTTAGTTTATAATGATTTGGTAACCTGAATATTTATGTTTTATTGATTTTTCAATATGTGTTGAATTTCACAATTTAGGGAAATTATAGCTCTGAAAGTTACAAGTTAGCTTCAGCTGGTTATTTAACCAACAAATTACAGTCAAATCTCATAAAAATGTAAGACTAATTTTTTTTGTTTGCTTTTGAGGTGGGGTCTTGCCCTGTCCCCCAGGCTGAGTGCAGTGGTGAGATCTCGGCTCACTGCAACCTCTGCCTCCTGGGTTCAAGAGATTCTTGCCTCAGCCTCCTGAATAGCTGCGATTACAGGCACACGCTGCCATGCCCGGCTAATTTTTGTATTTTTTTTAGTAGAGACAGGGTTTCATCATTTTGCCCAGGCTGGTCTTGAACTCCTGACCTCAGGTGATCCGCCTGCCTTGGCCTCCCAAAGTGCTGGGATTACAGGCATGAGCCACCGCACCCGGCCAAGACTGTATTTTAAACTTCCAAATCCAAAGATTTGTTCTCAAGTCAGTAAAAAGCATCAAATAGCCACAATCAGAACTGGGTATGTAGTATACAATCTTCCCTTGGTATCCGCAAGAGATTAGTTCTATGATCTCCCACCTCAAATACCAAAATCTAAGGATGCTTAATTCACTTACACACAATGGTATATTATTTGCATATAACCTATGCACATCCTTCTGTATACTTTAAATCATCTCTAGATTTTTAAAGTAATACCAAATACAACAAAAATACTATGTAAATAGTTGCTATGCTGTATATTAAAATTAGTATTTTTTTTTTTTTTTTAAGAGAGAAGGTGTTGCTTTGTCACTCAGGCTGGAGTGCAGTGATGCAACGCAATCATAGCTCACTGCAGCCTTGAACTCCGGGGCTCAAGCGATCCTTCCACCTCAGCCTCCCAAGTACCAGGGACTACAAGCACACACCACAATTCCTGAAATTTTTTGCAGAGATTTGGGTCTCGCTATGTTGCCCAGGCTGGTCTTGAACTGTTGGCTTCAAGCAATCCTCCTGCCTTGGCTTCCCAAAGTGCTGGTATTATAGGTGTGAGCCACCATGTCTGTCCTATAATATTTTTTACCGTGTTTTTCTGAACATTTTCAATCTGTGGGTAGTTGAATCCACAGATGCAGAACCCATGGATACAGAGTCAACTGTACTTTTATATATTTTTGTATGAATCACTTGCCAAATCCACACAACCTGTCCCTCAAGAGATAAGACAGAAAGGAGCAAAAACCTTCTGCTATAGGAAAGTTTCTAAATTTAAAGGAAGCAATTTTTGCAAAGCATGGGTGATAAAGGGAAACCAGGAAGGTAAATTTAAAAGAACAAGTGCTTCTTTTTTTTGTTGTTTTAATCCAATAAAAGAACACCTACTCTGTGGATGGCTATTACCAACCACTTAAGTGCAACAAAATGTTTTCTTTTTTTTTTTTTTTTGAGACGGAGTCTCGCATTGTTGCCCAGGCTGGAGTGCAGGGGCGCAATCTCGGCTCACTGCAACCTCTGCCTGCCTGGTTCAAGCGATTATCCCGCCTGAGCCTCCCGAATAGCTGGGATTACAGGCATATGTCACCATGTCTGGCTAATTTTTGTACTTTTAGTAGAGACGGGGTTTCACCATGTTGGTCAGGCTGGTGTCGAACTCCTGACCTCCAGTGAGCAGCCGCCTCGGCCTCCCAAAGTGCTGGGATTTACAGGTATGAGCCACCGCGCCTGGCCAACAAAATGTTTTCTATATTGAAGCTTTTCTGTGGTGAAGAGACTGGTTCCTTATAAGTTTACACAAAAATGGACCCAAGTACCCAGATAAAGACACAAAAATATATTAATTTCCTTTTTTTTTTTTTTTTGAGATGGAGTTTTGCTCTTTTGCCCAGGTTGGGGTGCAGTGGCGCAACCTTGGCTCACTGCAACCTCTGCCTTCCGGTTTCAAGTGTTTTTCCTACCTAAGCCTCCCGAGTAGCTGGGATTACAGGCACTTGCCACCAGGCCTGGCTAATTTTTGTATTTTTAGTAGAGATGCAGTTTTATCATGTTGGCCAGGTGGTCTCAAACTCCTGACCTCATGATCTGCCTGGCTTGGCATCTCAAAGTGCTGGGATTACAGGCAGGAGGCACTGTGCCCAGCCAAAATACAATAAAATATTAAAAGTATTAAAATATGAGACTTATCTTCATATTCCCTTTTCCCAAGAGACAATTATGGCATGGTGAAAGAGTAACCAAATCAAAAGGCCTAAATTATTATGCTAGTTCTACTACTAAATGAAATTTGGCAAGTCACTTAACCTAAGTCTATTCTCATAGCTGTAAAAGAGGATTAACAGCATTTTTCTAGCTTGCTTCAGAATATTGTTTGTGATGATCAAAAGTGTAAGTGCTTTATAAAATGTAAAGTGTTAATTAAACATTAGGCATTCACGACCAGCCTAAGCAACATAGTGAGACTTTGTCTCTAAAAGTCTTTAAAAAAATTAGCAGGGCATGGTGGTACATGCCTGTAGTCCCAGCTACTTGGGAGGCTGAGGCAGGAGAATTGCTTGAGCCCATGAAGTTGAGGCTACAGTGAGTTATGATAGTGCCACTGCACTTTAGCTTCAGCAACAAAGTGAGACCCTCCTCTGTAAAAGAAACAAACATTAAACAACAAAAACATTAGGCATAGTTATTAGTTTTAAAACACAAGACCTCAGATATTCTCATGGGTGTAGAAAAGAACAAGATTTGCAAGAGGACATTCATCACAGAATTATTTCTAATAGAAAAAAAATTTATATGAAGGAAAAATGAAGCAATAGGGAAAAAAAAACTGACTGTAACTTATAAGTAAATATGAACCTGCCGGGTGCAGTGGCTCATGCCTGTAATCCCAGCACTTTGGGAGGCCAAGGTGGGCAGATCACAAGGTCAGGAGTTCAAGACCAGCCTGACCAACATGGAGAAACCCCGTCTCTACTAAAAATTCAAAAATTAGCCAGGTGCGGTGGCTCATGCCTATAATCCCAGCTACTCAGGAGGCTGAGGCAGAAGAATTGCTTGAACCCAGGAGGCGGAGGTTGCAGTGAGCCGAGATCACAGCACTGCACTCCAGCCTGGGTGACACAGTGAGACTCCATCTCAAAAAGAAAAAAAGTAAATATGAGCCCAATATTATACTGGAAATTTCTGAATGTCACATAAGACACTTAAGTGGGACTTTACATAAACTTTTACCTTTCAAATATACCCTTATATATTAATTACTTTAGTAATAAACAAGTATTACACTTTTACACATCTAAAAACATAAAATTTTGGCTGGGCACAGTGGCTCACATCTGTAATCCCAGCACTTTGGGAGGCCAAGGTGGGCAGATTACTCGAGCCCAGGAATTCAAGACCAGCCTGGGCAACATAGCAAAACTGTCTCTACTAAAAATAAGCCAGGTGTGGTGGTGCATGCCTATAGACCCAGCTACTTAGGAGGCTGAGGTGGGAGGACCACTTGAGCACGGGAGGTCAAGGCTGCAGTGAGCTGTGATCCCGCCACTGCACTCCAGCATGGGCAACGGGAGTGAAACTCTGTCTCACAATAGAATAGAATAGAATAGAATAGAATAGAATAGAATAAAATAGAATAGAACAGAATAGAATAAAATTTTGTTAAAGGATGCTATATTGTTTTACTTAAAATCTGGTAATAAAAAATGGGCATGTTGTATTTAAAAAATGGAAGCTTACCATGTATTCTGAAGGAGCCATAAACTCAATAGTAGCATTTTGAACTTCTGGTCTTCTGTGAGGTTCTCCATAAACTCTGGTCAAAGGGTTGTACAAGAATTCTTCAGGAACTATATAAAGTTAACAATACACACATTGAAAAAACTGAAAGAATTTAATATATTTTGCATTTGGCCACTTTATTGCTTGAAAAGATGATAAAAACTCATTAAATGCCAATTACTTTCTTGTTTTTTTTTTGAGACAGAGTTTCACTCTGTTGCCCAGGCTGGAGTGCAGTGGCATGATCTCGGCTCACTGCAACCTCCACCTCCCAAGTTCAAGTGATTCTCTTGCCTTAGCCTCCCGAGTAGCTAGGATTACAGGCATGCGCTGCCATGCCCGGCTAATTTTTTGTATTTTTAGTAGAGATGGAGTTTCTCCATGTTGGTCAGGCTGGTCTCAAACTCCCAACCTCAGGTGATCCACCCACCTCAGCCTCCCAAAGCGCTGGGATTACAGACGTGAGCCACCACACCCAGCCTATTTGCTTAAATTTCACAATTATACAGGATATTAACATTTCACATATGAAATATACAGAAACTGGCTGGCACTAGAAGCTATGGTAAGACAATTCCAGAGGTCAAGGTCATAAGGTTTAGTGAGTTTCATTAATTAATGAGACCTTTATGGAACATCACTTAACCTAACATCATACTTACCACTTATAATACACTAGTGGTTAAAGAGTATTTTCTGCCCGGCGCGGTGGCTCAAGCCTGTAATCCCAGCACTTTGGGAGGCCGAGACGGGCGGATCACGAGGTCAGGAGATCGAGACCATCCTGGCTGACACGG